CTCTTGAAAAAGAAGAAAAAATTGTAGGTCTGACACTTTCTGATTTCAAAATTTATTACCAATATACAATAAACCCAAGACAGCATGGTATTGGCATAAAGAAAGACATAAGGGCCAACAGAATAGAAAGCCCAGAAATAAACCCTCACATATATGGTCAAATGAGTTTTGATAAGGGTGCCAAGACCATTCAATGGGGAAGTCCTTTTTCCACAAATGGGGATGAAACAATTAGATATCCACATGCAGAAGAATAAGTTGGAGACTTACTTTGCACCATATACAAAAAATTACCTCAAAATGGATTAAAAACTCTTAGAAGAAAACAGAATAAAACCTTAATGACACTGCATTTGGCAATGATTTCTTGGATATGACACCAAAAGCACAGGCACCAAAAGCAAAAATAGACAAACTGGATTACATCTAAACTAAGAATGCCTGTGCATGCAAGGACAAAATCAACAGAGTGAAAAGGCAATTCACAGAGTAAGAAAGAATATTACAAATTAGGTAGAAGAGGCTAACATCCAGAATATATAAAGAACTCCTACGACTCAACAACAAACTTGAGTAAAAAACAGGCATAGGACTAGAATAGATATTTGTCCAGAGATGATATCCAAACAGCTTATAAGCACATTAAGATGTTCAACATCACTAATCATTAGGCAATTACAAATCGAAACACAATGACATACCACTTCACACCCCTTAGGATGGCTGCTATAAAAAAACATAACAAGTGTTGGCAAGAATGTGGAGAAATTGGAACCCTTGTGCACTGTTGGTGGGACTGTAAAATGGGTGCAGGTGCTATGGAAAACAGTATGGTGGCTCCTCAAATAATTAAAAATAGAATTATCATATGATTCAGCCATTCCACTTCTGGCTATATACCCCCTAAACTAAAAGCAGGCTCTTGAACAGATATTTGCACACCCATATTTTTGCACACCCAGATATCTACAAACACCATTTATACACACAGCAACATTATTCACAATAGTCAAAAGATGGAGTAACCCAACTGCCTATAGATAGTTGCATGGATAAGCAAAATGTGCCATATCGTACACAGGAATATCATTCACCCTTCAAAAATAAGAAAATCCTGTTATATGTTACATAATGGATGAGCCTTGAGGATATTTTGCTAAATGAAATCACCCTACAAGACAAATAATATATGATTTCATTTATATGAAGTACCTAGAGTAGTCTAATTCATAGAGACAGAAAATAGAATGGTGGCTGCCAGGGGTTGAGCATAAGGTGGAATGAGGAATTGTTTGAGTGGGTACAGAGTTTCAGTTCTGCACGATGAAAAAGAGTTCTGGAAGATGGTAATGTTTGCACAGTGATATGAATGTACCTAGTACCACCAAGCTGCATACTTACAAATGGATAAGATAATAAATTCTGTTATATGTATTTTACCACAATTAAGAAAAAAGAAAGAGAACAAGAAAATCAAATATGAATAAATTTAACCATGAAGGTGCAAGACTTGGACAATGAAAACTACAAAACATTGCTAGAAGAAATTAAAAACCTAAATAAATTGACAGGCATTTTGTATTCACAGACTGGAAAGCTTAATGTTAAGATGGGAATAAACTCTAAACCAATCTACAGATTTGAAGCAATTAATACCAAAATCCCAATGAACTTTGGGCAGAAATGGAAAAGCTGATTTTGAAATTCATTTGGAAATACAAGGGAGCGGAATAGCCAAAGTAGTCTTGAAAAAGAACAAAATTGGAGAACTCACGCATCTCAATTTTAAAACTTACTACAAAGATACAGTTATCAAAAATACTGCAGTATTGGAATACAGATAAGCACGTAGATCAAAGGAATACAACTGAGGGCTCAGAAACAAACCTTCAAATCTATCGTCAATTGATTTTTGACAAAAGTGCCAAGACCATTCAATGGGAAAAGAAAAGTCTTTTTAACTACTGGTGCTAGGACAACTGGATATCCCTGTGGAAAAGAATGATGTCATATCATACATAAAAATTAACCCAATATATATCAAATATGCAAAGGGAAGAGCTAACAAGTATAAAAAGTCTTGAAAGAAAATATAGAGATAAATCTTCAAGACTGTGGATTTGGTAATGGTTTCTTAGATAAAACAACAAAAGCACAAGCAACAAAAGAAAAAATAGGACTTCATCAAAGGTAAACTGTTACACATCAAAGGACAGTAATAAGCAAGTGAAAAGATAACCCAGAGAGTGGAAGCAAATATTTGCAAATTACATATCCAATAAGGATCTACAGTCCAGGGGTGCCTGGGTGGCTCAGTCATTAAGTGTCTGGCTTCAGCTCAGGACATGATCCCAGGGTCCTGGGATCAAGCCCTGCATCAGGCTCCCTGCTCTAAAGAAAGCCTGCTCCTCCCTCTCTGACTCTCCCTGGTTTTGTTCCCTCTCTCACTGTGTCTCTGTCAAACAGATAAATAAAATCTTTTTTTTTTTTAAAGATTTTATTTATTTATTTGAGAGAGAGACAGTGAGAGAGAGCATGAGCGAGGAGAAGGTCAGAGGGAGAAGCAGACTCCCCATGGAGCTGGGAGCCCGATGTGGGACTTGATCCTGGGACCTCGGGATCATGACCTGAGCCGAAGGCAGTCGTCCAACCAACTGAGCCACCCAGGCGTCCCCAGATAAATAAAATCTTAAAAAAAAAAAAAAAAAGAATCTACAATCCAGAATATATAAAAAATTCTTGCAATTCAAAAACAAAAAGATAAACTACTTAAGTGGGCAAACACCTGAACAGACATTTCTCCAAAGAACATATATATGGCCAAAAAGCACAAAGAAAGATGTTTAATGTCATTAGCTATTAGGAAAGGGAAAGGCAAATCAAAACCACAATTAAAATAACGCGAATGAGATACCACTTTATACTTACTAGCATGGCAACAAAATGCCACAAAACTAAGTAAACAAAAAGTGCTGGTGAATATGGAGAAATTGGAACCCTCAGACATTACTGGTGGGAATATAAAATGGTGTATCCTCTGCGGAAAATAGTTTGATAATTAATTAATAAGCTAAACACAGAATTACCATATGACCCAATACTTCCACTCCTAAGTATATACCCAAAAAGAACTGTAAATAGGTGTTTAAATAAAAACTTACATACAAATGTTCCTATCTGCTCTGTCTTTTACAGTAGCCAAAAGATGGAAACAACCTCAATGTCCATGAACAGATGAATGGATAAATAAAATGTAGTATATACATGCAATGAAATACTATTCAGCCATAAAAACAATAAAGTACTGATACATGCTAGGACATGGATGAATCTCAAAAATATGCTAAAGTGATAGAAGTCTGACATAAAGGTTACATACTCTATCATTTCATTTATATGAAATATACAGAATAGGCACCAGAGAGTGAGTGCTTAATGATTATGAAGTGTCCGTTAGAGGCATGAAAGAGTACACAAACCAGATCGTGGTGCTAATGTAAAACACTGTGAAACTCAGTGCCACTGAACTGTACACTTTAAAATGGTTAAATTGTAAGCTTTATGTAAAGTGTGTGTTTCACCACACACAAAAAACCCTCTACCACGATTTTTTTCCCCTATCTCCTCTAATGGAACAAAAAGCCTTCCTCCATATCATTCCCAATTCTTCACCTACTTTAAAGAAAAAAGGTCATATTGTACCATTTACACATGTAAATGTAAATCATTATCATTTAATACCTACCAAAACTCAATTATGAGAAATATTTATGGCAAACTATCTGAATGTCTTGTGCCTCCTTTCCTCTAGACAAGTAGTCTCTAAATTTTTTAATCATGTAGTCCTACGGATAAAGTATTTTTGAGCACAAATTACCAAATTAGATATTTATAAGTTATAAATTATGACTGTACTCATATATTATAAAAGATATAGAGAAATATAAATTTTTAAAGGTTGAGAAAAATATACATCTAACTTTTTTTTTTAACACCTCTCTTTCTATACTCTAATGACCCATTCTGCAAGCATCCTTCTTTGGAGAGCACTGCTCTAGATACCCTAAATTATATTCTCGGGTTAAAGTAACAGTCCGCGCTTGCTGACCCCTGGAAATGTACCTTGACCGAACTCCCTAACCTAAGGTCATATTAACCTTATGGGTGTTGTTACCGAATCTCTTGTAAGGATGCTGTTGAAGATTGTTCTATATACCATGGTGCCTTCTTGACGAGGACAGATGAGAAAAATTTCTCTTAGGTCTTAAGAAATATCTGTAACGCTTTTGAATATTTAGTTTGTTTTTATATTACAGACTTACGTAATTGATCACAAAATTCTAGCAACACCAAATGTGAGAAAACATAGAGTGAAAGTTGTGGCTTACTTCTGGCAACCATATCCATAGGTATATTGATTGACTTCTCCTCTGGCTTCAACTTGTCTTCCCATCACTACCAACCCTTCATTTATTTATTTTTAAGAATCACATTGTAGCTCACCCCTCCCTGGCTTCAGTTTAATTTTCTACCATTCTAAATCTTCATTTACTCAAAAAAATCATTACCGTATTACTTATGTATGTATGTGAGTGTATATATGGGTATGTATCTGTGTATGTGTTTAAAAGCACCTCAAAATTTCTTGAAAGACAGGGAGGAACGAATAAAAAAAAGCCAGGCACTATTGGTCGGAATGGAGAACATCCGACACTGGCAGTCCCCTGTGCAGTCCCCTGTGTCAGGGGTTTACTTTGCAGATTCTGAAGCATTTAGTAGCAAAGCCCTTCGTCCAAAGGGTAATTCGTAACTGAGTGTCGATGAAAAGAATGACAACTCACAATAGCACTGTACTACACTTTCTCACTCTTTTCCAGCTGGTAAGAAACGTTATAGTGAGGAAAGGGCAATTGGCTTTTTTTTCACCTGTGTGCAAAGCTTAACTAAAGAGTCCATGAAAAAGGCAGTCACATTGCCAGATGGAATTTGTAGCCATGTACCTGGATGTGTTTCCTTCTGGTGTGCTCAGAAGTCATTTGGGGATGAGCCGTATTCAGTGCTTTCTTGTTCTTCTTGTTCCGCCTCTCAAAGAATCTCCTCTGATGGTCGGTGAGGCTGCTGTATAATTTAATTCGCCTGGGTGACAGACAAACTCTTTCTTGGCCAAAAGCTTGGATCAGTCGGGCAGTGTCAATGGTGGAAATAGAGCTGCTCCTCTCATGCAGAGTCACCTCTCTATCTGTTTGGGTCAACATATCTGATTCCACCGGAGAAGTGGTGGTGGAAACAATGTTGGTGGGGGTGTCTGTGAGCAGCTCACTCTCTTCTGAGGGCCTAGAATCTGAATAAGTGTTGTTTCTGCAATGAAAACCTGGCTGTTTTCTCAGGATATACTTATCAAATTTAATCTGTTCAATTTTGATCTGATTGGGTTTCCCAGCTTGATGAGTAGAAAGCACCTTGCTTTTTTTAAGCTCTCCTGCAGTTTTATGGAATTTCTCTAGGCTCTTATACCGCTTCTTTTTCTGAAGCTTGTTTTTCTGCTGTTGCTGTCTACCACTCCATTCCTTAACATCTCGTTCTCCTCTGCTATCATCCGGTGTGCTTTCAGAGGTCCGGAGAGAGTACGTGATGGGATTCTGAAGAAGTTTAGCCAAACGATCAAGTCGTTCCACCAAGGATAGTTCTTTCCTGTCACTGAACTCAGGAGGTTTCTTTTGCCTCTGTCGCTCCTGATACTTGTTCCAGAGTTCATTCAAACTCACACTGTGCTGAGCTGTTGGCTCTGGGGTGACCTTATGATCCTTTTTTTGATCATTAATTAGTTTGTCACTTTTTGGATAATCTCTAGTCCGACTTTTAGCAGTATGCATCACTTCGTTTTCCAAGTTTACATTGATACTGAGGCTCTCTATTCTGGTATAATCTGCCTTCGTCTTTTCCACATTTTGGTGAGGTGAAGGAAGACGAGTGTGTTCTCTTTGTTTGTCTGGATGATGCTGAAAGAAATCTTTCCAAGAATGTCTCATGAAAACACTCCTTCCTAAGGATTCATGGCAAAAATCTTGATCACTTGGTAGGTGCACTGGATGATGAAAGTAAAACTTGGCTGACCTGAAGACAGAATGGGTAGTATTTTCAAATTCTGAATGACATCTGGACTCTGAAAAGGAGAAAGGAGAAGATTCTGAAAGACTTTCAAAATGTTTGCATTCCCTTTAGAAATGGTAGCCACACTTAATTCTCTAGATACAGAACAAAGACCTAAAGAAAGAACAGTTTTATATAGAGTTTCAGGAAATTAGCTGCCTCCACAAAGGATTCTAGCCATACACCTATAGGCCAGACTGATACAATAAAACTTCAAGGGACTAAGGGTCAAAAGACTGGGATTCTAGGTTAGATTCTGCCACCGACTGGCTGTGTGACCTTAGGAAGGCAGTTTAGTTCTCTGGATTGTAACAGCAACTGCTGTGCATTCACTACCTGCTACATGCAGAGTATTATGATATGTGCTCTGTATCTGTCTTTTTCCTTTTAATTCAATTTTATTGATAAAACTGAGAGAGAGGAACTGTTAACCTTATTTTCAGTTAAGAAATCTGAGACTTCATTTTCATCATCAGTAATTAAACAGGTGGGATTAAAGAAAAAACCTCTTCATGTGTCTTAGAGGCTTTTAAAATTCCTTTCTCTGAACCATCTTTACATTTCCTCCCAATTTTTTTTTATTGTGGTAAAATACACCCAACATAAAATTTACTATCTTCAGCCTGAACAGACCCATAACCAGTAAGGAGATTGAAACAGTCATCAAAAATCTCCAAACAAACAAAAGCCCAGGGCCAGATGGCTTCCCGGGGGAATTCTACCAAACATTTAAAGAAGAACTAATTCCTATTCTCCTGAAACTGTTCCAAAAAATAGAAATGGAAGGAAAGCTTCCAAACTCATTTTATGAGGCCAGCATCACCTTGATCCCAAAACCAGACAAGGATCCCATCAAAAAAGAGAACTACAGACCAATATCCTTGATGAACACAGATGCAAAAATTCTCGCCAAAATACTAGCCAATAGGATTCAACTGTACATTAAAAGGATTATTCACCACGACCAAGTGGGATTTATTCCAGGGCTGCAAGGTTGGTTCAACATCCGCAAATCAATCAATGTGATACAACACATTAATAAAAGAAAGAACAAGAACCATATGATACTCTCCATAGATGCTGAAAAAGCATTTGACAAAGTACAGCATCCCTTCCTGATCAAAACTCTTCAAAGTGTAGGGATAGAGGGCACATACCTCAATATTATCAAAGCCATCTATGAAAAACCCACCGCAAATATCATTCTCAATGGAGAAAAACTGAAAGCTTTTCCGCTAAGGTCAGGAACACGGCAGGGATGTCCGTTATCACCACTGCTATTCAACATAGTACTAGAAGTCCTAGCCTCAGCAATCAGACAACAAAAGGAAATTAAAGGCATCCAAATTGGCAAAGAAGAAGTCAAACTATCACTCTTTGCAGATGATATGATACTATATGTGGAAAACCCAAAAGACTCCACTCCAAAACTGCTAGAACTTGTACAGGAATTCAGTAAAGTGTCAGGATATAAAATCAATGCACAGAAATCAGTTGCATTTCTCTACACCAACAACAAGACAGAAGAAAGAGAAATTAAGGAGTCCATCCCATTTACAATTGCACCCAAAACTATAAGATACCTAGGAATAAATCTAACCAAAGAGACTAAGAATCTATACACAGAAAACTATAAAGTACTCATGAAAGAAATTGAGGAAGACACAAAGAAATGGAAAAATGTTCCATGCTCCTGGATTGGAAGAATAAATATTGTGAAAATGTCTATGCTACCTAAAGCAATCTACACATTTAATGCAATTCCTATCAAAGTACCATCCATTTTTTTCAAAGAAATGGAACAAATAATCCTAAAATTTATATGGAACCAGAAAAGACCTCGAATAGCCAAAGCAATATTGAAAAAGAAAGCCAAAGTTGGTGGCATCACAATTCCGGACTTCAAGCTCTATTACAAAGCTGTCATCATCAAGACAGCATGGTACTGGCACAAAAACAGACACATAGATCAATGGAACAGAATAGAGAGCCCAGAAATAGACCCTCAACTCTATGGTCAACTCATCTTTGACAAAGCAGGAAAGAATGTCCAATGGAAAAAAGACAGCCTCTTCAACAAATGGTGTTGGAAAAATTGGACAGCCACATGCAGAAAAATGAAATTGGATCATTTCCTTACACCACACACGAAAATAGACTCAAAATGGATGAAGGATCTCAATGTGAGAAAGGAATCCATCAAAATCCTTGAGGAGAACACAGGCAGCAACCTCTTCGACCTCAGCCGCAGCAACATCTTCCTAGGAACATCGCCAAAGGCAAGGGAAGCAAGGGCAAAAATGAACTATTGGGATTTTATCAAGATCAAAAGCTTTTGCACAGCAAAGGAAACAGTTAACAAAACCAAAAGACAACTGACAGAATGGGAGAAGATATTTGCAAATGACATATCAGATAAAGGGCTAGTGTCCAAAATCTATAAAGAACTTAGCAAACTCAACACCCAAAGAACAAATAATCCAATCAAGAAATGGGCAGAGGACATGAACAGACATTTCTGCAAAGAAGACATCCAGATGGCCAACAGACACATGAAAAGGTGCTCCACATCACTCGGCATCAGGGAAATACAAATCAAAACCACAATGAGATACCACCTCACACCAGTCAGAATGGCTAAAATTAACAGGTCAGGAAATGACAGATGCTGGCGAGGATGCGGAGAAAGGGGAACCCTCCTACACTGTTGGTGGGAATGCAAGCTGGTGCAACCACTCTGGAAAACAGCATGGAGGTTCCTCAAAATGCTGAAAATAGAACTACCCTATGACCCAGCAATTGCACTGCTGGGTATTTACCCTAAAGATACAAACGTAGTGATCCGAAGGGGCACGTGCACCCGAATGTTTATAGCAGCAATGTCTACAATAGCCAAAGTATGGAAAGAACCTAGATGTCCATCAACAGACGAATGGATAAAGAAGATGTGGTATATATACACAATGGAATACTATGCAGCCATCAAAAGAAATGAAATCTTGCCATTTGCGACGACGTGGATGGAACTAGAGGGTATCATGCTTAGCGAAATAAGTCAATCGGAGAAAGACAACTATCATATGATCTCCCTGATATGAGGGAGAGGAGATGCAACATGGGTTAAGGGGGTAGGAGAAGAATAAATGAAACAAGATGGGATTGGGAGGGAGACAAACCATAAGTGACTCTTAATCTCACAAAACAAACTGAGGGTTAATGGGGGGAGGGGGGTTGGTGGGGTGGGATTGTGGACATTGGGGAGGGTATGTGCTATGGTGAGTGCTGTGAAGTGTGTAAACCTGGCGATTCACAGACCTGTACCCCTGGGGATAAAAAGATATTATATGTTTAAAAAAATAAAATTTAAAATTAAAAAAAAAAAAATTTACTATCTTCATCTCCAATTTTTGACAGCCATTATTCTATAACAAACCAGGCATTTTTAGATATGAGAACATCTTACAATTATAAACCCTAACTGTAAATACTAATATACCCATTTCTGGAGTTCCAAGTCATGTGGGGAAACAAAGATAGATACGCAACAAAGTAACAACTGTGACTATGGGATCCTTTTCGCCCACTGTATAGATTATTGGCAACCAGAATTTTCATTACTCTGAGAATCCCTAAGACAATTTCCCCAGACTACAATAAGATAGATGGATCTATTTTTATAGATAAAGTATAAAAAGACTCTCAAACCTCCCAACAAATAAAAGTCCAGGACCAGACGGTTTCCACTAGTAAATTCTACTATACATTTAAAGAATACAAAATCAAAGTCTTCCAGAAAGTACGAGGAGGAGGGAACACTTCCGAACTCATTTTATGAGACCACTATTACCCTGACCCCGGAAAAGGGCACTACAAGAAAAGGAAATTATAAGCTAATATTCCTAATGAACCCAGGAGCAAAAATCTTCAACAAAAATATCAGCAAACCAAATTCAACAATATATAAAAAGGATCATACATCATCATCAAGTGGGATTTATTGCAGGGATTCAAGGATGGTTCAATATCCACAGTCAATGTGATACACCAAATTAACGAAAAGGAGGATAAAAATAATATATCATCTCAAGAGATGCAGAAAAAGTATTTGAGAAAATTCAATACCTACTTACGACAAAAACTCTCAACAAATAGGTATAGAAGGAATCGACGTCAACATGATGCAGGTCATACATGACAAGACCATAACTGACATTATACTCAATGGTAAAAAACTGAAAGCTTTTTCCTTAAGATCAGGAACGAGACAAGGATACCTACTCTTGCCACTTTTATTCAACATACAGTAGTATACAGAAGTCCTGGCCAGAGTAATTAAGGGAAAAAGAAAAAAAAGGCAGTCACTCCTGTCTTCTTCCAATCTGTTCTTCAAACAGTAATCTTCAAAAATGTAAATTAGACCTACCATTTTCTATTTAACACCTTTCTCTTACTCTTAGAACAAAACTCAAACTCCTTAACAAGGTGTACAGGTATCTCACCATGCATTACTATCCTTCTTGATAATTATATTCCAATCATGCTGGCCTTTCCCCTTGTTTCATTAAGTAGCATGAGCAAAGGCATAAAAGCAGGAAGCATTAAGCAAATAGTTGAGTGTAAACATTCAGTTTATGTGGTTATACAATTTGCAAAGTAAAGGCAGTAGATAAAATAAGGTAGGAAAAGTTACTTGGGACCAAAAGAAGAGAGCCCAGAAATAAGTTTACCCAAATATGATAAACTGATCTTCAATCAGAGTGCTTAGAATACCCAGAGGGGAAAGTACAGCCTCTTGAACAAATGGCATTAGAAAACTAGGTATCTGTAGGCAAAAGAATAAAATGGACCCTGACCTTATGTCATACACAAAAGTCAACTCATGGGGTGCCTGGGTGGTTCAGCTGGTTAGGCGTCTGCCTTCGGCTAAAGTCATAATCTCAGGGTTCTGGGATCGAGCCCAATGTCAGGCTCCCTGCTCAGTAGGGAGTCAGTGTGCTTCTCACTCTTCCTCTG